GTGTAAGAATAGCCCTATAAATATATAGAAATATAAAGAAAATATTTTATACCTAAGATTAGTGAGAGACTGACCAGCTTTGAAAGTGTCCTTTAGAGAGATGGAAGACAATGCATATGTTGTGAGTCAAATAGAGGGCTTTTTCTTAGGCTGTTTCTTCTGTACCTTGATGCTTTGTGAGTAAGTAAATAAAACTACAGTAATACGGTTTGGAAAGGACCTTCAGAGGTCATCTCCAGAACATGGAGTTGAAAAGGGGGAAGAAAGGATGTATACTAAAGCTAGGGTGGCTGGAAGGGACCCACAAGCACAAGGCAGTGGGACACAGTGATAAAAGAGCTGGTGGGGAGAGAGGAGGCAATGGTAGATCTGTGAGGAGCTGAGGACTCTGGAAATGTAATTAAAAGCAGTAGGCAGCTTTAAGTACAGATACTTCTGGAAGGTCTGCCTGTTGGTTTTGCATTTTTTACTCAGTCAAAGGTTTTGATGTGTCCTTTTTTGTACTTACGTGCATCCAATTTGAAACCAAATGCGAACTTTTCCATCAGCATTCCTGTAAGTATACTCAGGAAGCTTGTGGATGTTGGGCCTAGACAAACTGGAACATAAATACTCTGATCTTTGTGCTTATTATTTGAACAATCAAATTGATTTTTATTCCTATTGCATTTCTTGTCTTTCAATAAAAAAATGTTTTCCTTTGTTGCACTTTTAACTGAGGCAGTATGCAGGAAGAAAGGCTAAGTACCTGGGTGATGGTTTACGTGTAGACAAACTTCCCCCCATTTTTTTTTCTTCTAGTAAACCTTACTTCTCCCTTATTGCTGTATAGCTACCAGCGACGTTTTTGCCATACATTGCTGGTGAAAATGTGAAGGCCAAAACTGCCAAAAGTAAAAATGTTTGTTCTTGGTGGGTTTATAATTTGACAGCTAAGTGGGGTAGTGTTGGTTAGCTTCACAGTTCAAAATACTTACGCCAGGAGGCTGTGGGCCAAGTGTTTAATTTTAGGATTCATCCTGCTGTAGCAAGTTGGCAGTAACTGAAATGATTAGAGCTTGTAGTTCATGCTCTGCACAATACTGTAACTTTTTTTTATTCGGTGGGAAGAATGTGGCCTTTCTTATCTCTAGTACTGATCTGGTATAATAGCAGTGTAATTAAATAAAGCATTTCAGATGGTATGTGAAGATCAGAAACTTACATATTGTATCCATTGCAGTGAGGGTAAAAATATATTTCTGTACCAAGCACAGTCTATGTTTGTTCTATAGTTAAGCTTACAGGACTTCGATGTCCATATACAACATGTAGATTCAATTAAAAGAACTTCTTTACACTCTTTGTACAACATGGTCTGTAGGAAAGGCAAGGATAGCCGAGTGATGGTATTGCTAGGTTGTTAAGGGCTTGCCTGCAGTACAGAAAAATAATATGCCCTAATGTCCTCACTGCCCAGAGGAAATAAACCAGCATATCAAAATATGCTGATTAGCAAGGTTCCAGGAGTGAATTTGTGTGCAGACTATCCTTACACTTGCCTGTTAACAGCAGTCTTTTGATAGAAACTGTTGCCACGTTTCCTTTTCAGGCTGCTCAGAAACCATCCTCCAAAATTGGTGTGCAGCGTTTGAAATCCAAAATAGCTACAGTTAGCTAGAATGGCTTGTTCTGTTGTGTTTCATTATAAAGGGAATGTTTTTCTCAAACAGAATATCTATCTTGACATTTTTACATGTCCCTAGTGCATTGAAAAGGAAATTTAGAGACACACACTGTGCCTGGATCTCAAATACCCTGTGGTTAGAAGAGACGCTATGTTGGGGTAAAGTGTTAAAGGTTTTGAACAAGCAGGAGAACATTCAATTAGAAGCTACCTGTGGTTTGCAGGACATAAAAGTACAGCTGTGTTACACTGATAGGCTAAACATCAAATGCTGAAATTCTTTTGTTAATTCATGTTGATGACAACATTGCTCACTTGTATATCTTTTTGTGAGATTATGTACTAAAAAAGCGTGGAGAGGATAGAATCAAATAATCAATAGAGGAAATGTAAAAATAAGAGTACCTTTGTGACTTGTATTTACTTCCTTTATTCATCTGCGTTCTAATACAGTCTTTATAGGATTGGTTTCTTCTCCCAAGATGCTACCGCATTCATTTCACAGGGTAGGTCTGTCTCTAGGACTGAATAAGGGAGCTGTCTGCAGGACCGTACCCTTGGCTGTTGGAGAGACTGGAAGGGTTAAGACGAGCAGGTGATTGCAGAGACAAGAAGGATGAGTCTCATGGTTACAGCAATTGAGTTTTGACAGGTTCTTTTTCTGAACCTAGTTTGGCCACTTTGAGGGTATGTTCCACAGGCAGTTGCTAGTTCAGGAGTTTTGCAGGCATCCAGCTTAAGCACCATTAGTCACTTTTTGAATGTATGTCCCTCAGGTTTTAAAAAACTAAAATCCTGACGCAGAAATTGTGTGTTGTAAGCCATGTCAAAACCCTTCATGGTTTATTAGCATGACTGAGCAGGTTAGATACACTGTGTGACCCAGGAGAGGAGCTGGGAGGAGTACTTCATTGTCATCCTGTGTGTGTGCCAGGAGAATAGCGGGGGAGTGCTCTTGGTTTGCACCAGACTGGAGTATTAAGTCTTCAAAAATCTGTTGTTCTGTTTTAGCATTGGGCTCAGGCCGTTGCAGATCCCTTTGACATCTCTACACCTATTAGCTCTCATTTTTCAAAGTCACCTTTCTTGCACCTTAACCTGCCTCAGTTTGGCTTTGCATGCTAGTTCAAACCTCCAAGCTCTGGTCAAATCCGAGTCGTTCCTCTCTCCTGGTCTTTCTTCCTGGACTTTTTATCTAAGCCATTATCTCTTCCCCTGCCACATCTTCTTGTTCAGTTCTCTCCCCTAGCTCTTTGTCTCGTACTTTTTGCCATGTGAATCCTCCACTGTATTCTCATCCAGTCTGTGCTGTTTCATCATTTTGTACTGCCTGCTTTCTCTTGATAGACTCTCAGTTGCTGATTCCCTCTTTTAGGGTCCCACTCATACCCTGATCCCTTTTGGGACAAATGACTTCCCTCTTCTCCAGAATATAGATTCATTAGCAGGGTCCAAGAGAATAGAGACAGGACATACGGAGTGTATCTCTCCCTGCTTACTTTCTGTACTGCCCTAATGTGTTTAAAAAAAAAAAAATCTTCAAAAGCTCTATTCAGCACCTCCTGCTGGAGTGTGCTTGGCTGGCTTGGGAGGCTGGCTCGGAGTCAAACCTGTCCGTGAGTAAGATCTTTAAGGAGGTGGTAGCATGTATGGCACAGATGGCATCTTCAGAAACGTAGGTGCTGGATCTTAACTAGCTTCTGTGAGCACGTGCCAGCTGATTTCCACCACACCCCCCACACCCCCCCATTTTGGTGTCTTTGTCTTGACATGGGGGGAAAAAAACCCTACCACCAAACCTCCTAGGAAAAGCCCAGTCTGCCTACTTGAATCTTCTTTCAAAAGCATGGGACAATTGCACTTTCTTGGGAAAGCATGAATTAAGTCAATTTACTTTATTAAAGCACCAGACTTCTGCAAAAATTCAGCTTAGGGCAAGCGTGTAGCATGGCATCCTGTAAGCTGAAATACATGAAATTTGGCAATGTTAAAAGCATTTAAAGTCAGCATGGTAGGGAAGAAAAGAGGTTTGAATAAAAACAATATTACCGGTTAAAATTTTAATTTAGGAAAAAGCTTTTCTGAAAAGCCTTTTGGTGGTTAAAGTGATATATGTGATACAATAGCGGTAACTGTTGTTGTTCTGGATTGGGTTATGTTTTCTCCTGGAGACTCCTGTCTATGACAGAAGTGTTTTTGCACCCTTAGTTACAAAAAGAATTTGCAAGTATTTCTTTGTATTGACTCCTTCAGTCCAGCTGTATCTCAACAGACTTGGTTACATGAGCAATCATAAATGTCTGCTGCTTTTTATTATTTTTCCTCTTGACATGGAGTCTCTGCGCCTCTGTACACTGTGCTGTTATTCCTATTTGTGGAAAGTAAGTGTAGCTGTCGCTCTAACTTTGTAATAGGTTGTGTTAATTTTGCACGATGTTTGGGGAAACGGAGAATTGGGGCCGTTTTTGTCAGACCTCTAACGTTGCTGTGGGCTTTGTTTTCCAATTCTGTAGAAAATGCTTTGCTCTTCAGAGGGGGTGGTTTGAGTTGCATTGTTGTTGTGTTGTTTTGGATTGAAAAAGTTTACAGGTGAAATAGTGTTTTGCTTTTTCTTGATGAGCTTTTCTAGATGATAATTTACTGTATGAATGCCTTCCTAGCCATCTGGTTGCATATTGCATTCTGAGTATTTTTATGTACTTGAACTTTTATGTGTTAATAGGCTTAGCAGGCAAAAGAAATACCAGTGAGAGCAATAGTCTCTGAACATCCAGACTGCAGGGTACGAGGTTACACATTTTACCCTGTTTGTTACACTTCTTGAAGGCGAGCCAGTAGCTGCGGTTAAGATTTTGTGCACAAATGATGAGCCACTGAAAGGCTGGACTATTACTGATTTACAGAGGCGGGGGGGGCTTGGGTAGGAAAAGGAACAGGAGTGGTAACAAGCGGCAGTAGAGGTAGCAAAGGCAGGAGCAGGTTCCACAGCAGACTTCCCAGTGTGAGCCAGTGAATGCACAGCTTCCCAGCGAGCTGTCAGGAGGAACCCAGAACTGAGTATTGCAGGAGATTCAGGGTTCATGTTTATCATGCAAAGTCATGTGATCTTACTATATCTTAACTTGCCAACTTAGCGTTACTCCAGAGAAGATCCTTTGCTGCAGTGCTTAACAACAACAGCAAAAAAAAGGAGAGAGAAAAAAAAAAAAAACAGAAGGAAAAATAGAGAATTGTGCAATGTGTGTTTATGCCCACATCATGCCGAGGAGACACTTAACAGTAAATAATCTGTGTATCCCTGAGGTAAGATACTGTTTCTGCTTTCCCTGCACAGTGCTGCTGCAGCACGGAGCTGATCCAAACATTCGGAACACCGATGGGAAATCTGCGCTGGACCTGGCAGACCCTTCAGCAAAAGCTGTACTCACAGGTAAGATGCATACATCTCTTGGCTGCGTTACCTGTAGTTCATTTTGTCTGTATAAGTTCAGCATCATAAAAGCATTCTGCTTTTTTGCATTTTCTGTTGTGTAACAGCATTTTAAAACTGTCTTTTACTACATTTCATGTTGATGTAACTGTCGGTAATCTGCTGTGCTGCTATAGGTTTGCCTGTTCTTCTTATGCTAATGCTGCAATTTTCTGTTATAACATCATTTGTTATTCACTGTATTTCTGTGGTTTTTTTCCTTTTTAATGGCTACCCAATATACACATTGAATAGGAGCCCCCAACCCCTGCAAAAAAGAAGAAAAAATCAGGTCAATTGTTTTAAGACCTTCACTGTTGAGCAAGCAAGGACGTTTGTATAACTATAGAAGTACCTGTGATCTGAAAGACAACCTGCTACTGGTTGCAGAGATCAGTATTTACGTTGTATTTTGCTGCAGATTCACATGCTACCCTTTCCTTCCTCATTAGTCACTTTAGGTAGAACTCTTTCTCACCCATCAATTTTTTTCCTTTTTAGGGGTTATTAGCTACCAAACAACGTTTCATGAAAATATTCTACATATGTACCTTTGTTTTTACACAGCTTTGTTTTTCTAATAAATTAACTGTTGTAGCATACCAGTAAGCATTAAAAGTGTAATATAATAGCCTGTCAAATCTGTATCAAGAAATACATGGTCCTCTGTGCTGATTTTGACATCTGGGAAGTAGTGTTTAGAACAAAGTAATCTTGGATTTTATAATATATACAATTAGATTTATAGAAATATATTCAGCAGCTGAGCTTCATTTGAAGAAATAGCTATTTTTCTTTTTTAGCCTCTGTTTCCACTATTCTCTCTCTTTTTATTGACAGCTTAATTTATAGGTTATGTACTATGCAACACCCGTGTTCTTTCTTCAAATTATGTTCAGAGCACACCAGCTCACTTCACTTTGTCAGGAACATTTCCTCATCTTCTTTCCTGTGCGTTGACTGCTATACGTAATTATCTACAGCTCTGCAGTGGAGAGTGCCTTTGGAACAAAGCACTTTAAATACATATGATATAGTTTAATTACTCAGTGTCAAATTTAAACATGTTCCTACAGCGTTAACACTGTTAGCTGTGCTAAGCAGGTTAATCTGACTTTTGGCGGTTAATGGGTACAGTTGTACAGACACTGAGGATGGAAAAGGCACCGAGGGTCAAGGTACCTCAAAGGTGCTAATGGATATTTGGCATTTAGTTGTAGGGAACTTGATATACGTAGAGCTTGGGGGTTCCAAGCTCCGAGCTGCTCTTCAGGATATGCTCAAAGACCAACTTCAGAGGATAGCAGAAGACTTAGGAAGGTCTATGGTGCTGACTTTGCATCTGCTCCGCTGAGTTCTCTGGGCACTGGATCACCACCTTGTGCTTTGGGCATGGAGAGGGCAACATGTCATAGCAAACAAGTGGGGATGGATTAGAAGCAGCTCTCTGAGGAGGCCCTGTTGAGGGCAGAAAGCGCCCCGAGTCCCTGACCTCATCGCTAATGCCTTGCACAGGAGCGTTCAGTGACTGCAAGCTTCTGCAACCCATGGATGTTACTAGGTTGTATGTATAAGCACCCGTGCATAGAGCCACTTCTGCTGTTATTCAGGTGTTTTATTGTTTATAAAAAAGAGGTAATTTTTGTATGTGTTTATTCTTCCTAGCAAGGAATTTGGCTTCTGGTTTTATCAGCTTTGTCCTCAAGGTGGCTCTTGGGTACACTGGGCTTTCTCTATGCTGTGTGCCTGAGCGAGCTGTGTAAACAGGGTTTGGTTTGGGCTTTAGCTGCTGTACAATTCACAATAACTGAAAAATCTGACACTGGATGCCATTGAAATGGGAGCTTTCTGTTAAGAGCTTAATTTTTCTGGGTGCTGCCCTGCTTACTAGTATTTCTGTTAGGCTGCCACTTTCTCCTGCGTTTGCCGTATGTTGCTACCTTCAGGTCTTACTTCATCCCTCTGGAAGAAGGGGGCTTAAGGGATTTCTTAGGATCTATCTAGTTTGGGATAATCTTTAGCTACAGCAATGCTTTGCAATTAGGTGCATCAGGACTTAAAAGTATTACTGGATTAAGGATGAGTAGGATGTATTAACTTAATTTTCAGTATTTAGTGTTGAATGGTGGGACTTCAGAAACACTCATATTTAGAGTGTTTAAAACCGAAGGGATTCTGAAAGCACAATCTGTAATTGTTACTGTATTGGCATCTTTAAACAGCACGTGTGCCAAGGCTGTTCTTATTATGTTATTTTGGGTTCCTTTTTCTGTCAATGTCTATGACCATAATAGACTTTTCCACATTGCTGCTATATTGATTGTTGGAGAACAACGTTCCTCTTACTACCTTTTTTTGACCAACTGTTTGCGTAAATTTGTGCATTGATGTTATTTGCTGTGTGAATGAACTGTGATTGTAGTTTCTCTTTGATCTCCCAACTTAGCAAAAGTGAACAGAAAACTTGTTGGGAATAGATTAAATCTTTTCAGTTTGACAAAGAATTCTGTATGTGTTTTAAAAGGGACATTTCTGCTGTGTGAAAAGGGTTTCTGGTGTTCTGGCAGCAAATGCTGAATCCACAATGATTTGTTCTTTTCTGTCTCCCAGTCTAGAATAATGTATAGTATATTTTTCTCCTGGAGAACAGAAAGGGTATATAATGCAGTAGTTTCTGGGTTGACTTCCAGCTATTTTCTTGCAATGCTCTCTTAAAATGTGTGTTTTATAAAGGATATATAATGTAAATAAAAGGCTAATATTTTGATGGAAATTGACTTTGAAAATTTCTGTGTAGATTAAAGTGAGTTTTGTAGAAATTAAACACCCAATTCCAGCTTCTTTTAAAGAAAGAGAAAGGTTATATAATTGGGGAACCTCCTTTTTACTGCTTAAACAGGAAAGGAGCCTTTTTTCTCCTTCTCTAAGATAAGCAGCGTTTGTGTGAGCCAAGCACTTCGAGATTGAGAAGGTGAATATTTTTTTGATTCTTCTTCCTTAGCATCATTTACTGTTTCTGAATCAGGATTGTAATCCTCTTTTTCTCGAGGCTGAAGTGGTAGTAGACTCCAAAAACATATCGCATCTAAAAAACAGAGCTGTTGCATATATCAGATTAATATCCTAGTTAATTTTAGTTTAGTTTAATTGCCTTTGGGGCGTGTGGTTTCTGAGATGGGGACTCATCTTTGTCGCCGTACCTAGCACTGTGGGACTTTCATCCAGAACAGGTCCTTTGGGAGCTTTTGCACTGTAAGTTGTATTAGTCTTCATTATTGTCTTGCCCTGCTTATTGCCTCTTTAAACATTAATATCCTTTTAAATCTGTCCTGTACAGCATATGAAGAGCCAACAATATTGTTAATGATTTATGTGAATGATTTATTTTGATTTTTCAGAGTGATGCTTTTTTGCCACTTCCCCGTATTATCTGCTATTTGGAAATGCTTTCTCTGTGTGAATGGTCATTCTTTGTACTTCAGCAGTTTCCAAAGCTGTTAGAAGGAGCTGATGGCAAAGTGGTTGCATATGTTCTTGACTGCACCAAGCCACTGTTGCAAGGTTGTTTTTGGTTGGTTTCAAGGAGTACTGCCTTGAAACAGGTCAAATGGAAAAAGTTTGGAAACTGCTGCATCTCCAGGTTAAGGGAAGATTTCTTGGGTACGAGATAATGTATTGTTTGTTAATAGAATCAATTTTCAAAGTTAAACAAGACTCTGATCCTACTTACTACGGAAATAACATCTTTTACAAATAAAGTGCTCAGATCCTATTGAGCATTTCTCACTTCTGTGTTTTGGATATGAAGGACAGCTTGATGAGTGAAAGTACAGCTGGGCTAAGGTTACCAGGAGTGTTAATGAGGATTCTTGTTTTCATCTATTTGTCTTGTCAACTTTGTAATTCAAGTGGGGAGCATAGTTCATTTATTGAAATACATTTGCACAAATTTTTTTGAAGTGAACTGCCATCTCTGCATAATTTTCATGCAAGGAAGGGAAAAATCTGGCATTTCACTACAGGAGGTTTACTGAACTTTAGAGAGTGGAAAATGGATCCTAGGTACAATTCATCCATTGTAAAATTAGCAGGAAGAGAAGAAATAGTTTTAGTTTGGGTTAGTTTTATTTTTACTGTAGCACTTTTACAGCTTGACCGTCTCAAATCCCGCTCTTTCCTGCTGGGTTGGTGGTGTTTTCTTTCAGGTACTCTGAAGATTTTGAAGGTATTCTGGATAGACACCAGCGCTTCCTTTTGGGAGGTGCCAACCTCCTGCCCCCTTCCTTTTATTGATCTAGTTCTTGTATAGTGTACTCTGAAATCAGATCAATTGGACAAGATGTAGCCTCTATCTTTAACAAACTGTAGTGCACAAGGAGAAGCATTTTAACAGTAAGGAGGTGCTGCTGGAGTGGTTTGGGCCATCCGTTTATGTGGGTCATCGTCCTCTCTGACTGTGACACTGGGGTCTGCTGCCTTGGAGGAAAGTACAAGAAACCCAGCAGTTGAGGAATATCCTTGCCCTGCAGAAATTTTCACCTTATTTCATATAGGCTGTTTGCATACAGCTTGAAGCAGGAGGTCTGAAGGATCTTTCCCAGCACTTGTTTGTGCTTTGAATGTATGGTTTTGTGATTGTTATTTGTTTAGCATTCAGGTTCCTCATTTTTACTAAGCCCTTCTCAGGAGGAAACAAGGCATTTGCTCTAGGTCACTGGTATGGGTGTCAGGTGTTTCACATTTGGAGTTTGTGGTGATATTTTACATCTGCTCTCTGGAGAATTATGAGGAATATCAGCTTTCCTTTTGGAATGCTGTGCCATTGCTTATCTAGTCTTTGGAAAAGATGTGGGCAAAATGTACTTGCAGTTGGAACCAGATGATATTTAAGGTCCCTTCCAACCCTTACCATTCTGTAATAACGTAAAGTGGCCATTTGAGTGGCCCTCATCTAGAAGCTC